ATATTTGCATAAGTAAAATTTTAATCGCTCATTCAACAGTTTTTTTTAAAATTAAACTATAAGAAAATATAATTTAATATCATTAAATTAATAAAATAATTTTCATTATTGCATAGAATTTTTTATTTTATTAATTTTCTTTTAATAAAATTAGAAATTAGAGGTACATGAAAAATTTTCCATAAAAAATAATACATATATGTAAACTCAGATTTTTTAAAAATCTTTTCTGTTTTAAGAAAATCTATGCCAATTCTAGACAACAAAATTGAATATTGTGGAAGTCTCATATTATAATCCTTTTGTGAATCAATTGAACGTTTACAAAGTTTTCTGTTATTCTGCTAATCAAAATAAAGAGAACTTTTGGAAGACAAATACGTAACATTCAGTGCATATGCTATTAATATAAAAGAGGATAATAAGAAGAAACTTTACAATAACTAAACAATAAATTTTTTTATAACAAGATTCTTTTCTTCACACAAAATGGACAATTGAAATAATTGTTGCCACAACCAGAAAAATTTCTACTATGGGGACTTAATAAAAATTGTAAATTAAGATTTTCTCTTTTCAGCGCGCAACGAAGTTTTGAAAGTATAAATATTAAAAAAATTTCGTTTACCATATAATTTATCGAGAAAAATATAATTATGAAACTACACAACTAATTTGGGCGTCAGACTAAACTGAAGTAACCGAATTAATTTCCATAGAAAATTCTGTCTGTTGCAAATTGGTTACAACAGCAATCAGTGGCAAGCTTTTCATTGGTACTTATTCCAGTAAAACAGAACCACAGCGAGTAAAATCATTCCGAAGATATGGTAGTAGGCATTTTCGGTGTTTCGTACATGGCCGGGTAGGGAATCTGCAACCGAGTCGTCCGCGTCATCGGCATCACCACTGCCATAGAACTGCTGAATCTTGGATTCCAATCCCGCTGGATCCGCACCTTGGCAGTGGCCCAATCTCGTACGTCTGCGATAGAAGATAAAAGTGGGCATCGCGCTGACATCCTGCATCGAGGCGGTATCCGCGCATTTGTCCACGTCCACCTTCAGGAACACCGCCTTGGAATACTTGAGAGACAATTGCTCGAATATTGGGGCGATTCTCTGACAAGGCCCGCACCTGCGCAAACCGGGCAAGACATATTAATTAGTGTGAATCATTTCTTGTTCTGTAGTACAAACATACTATTCAGTATAACACAGTAAATCTCCACATCTTTATTATTTGTCACTGTTAAATAAAGATGAAAGGTTCATTGATACTTTGTGTCTCTTGGAAAGCTCCATAAGAGATATGAAATTATAATATATTAATACACTTTTCTAGAGGTGGTAAAATCATATTTTACTCATGTTTTAAAGCGTATATATATATATATACACACCCTCTCTAGATTTAAAAAAAGAAAAATTATTACAAAGAATGTAAGATTCTGACTCATAATTTTTATTTTAATTTCTTTGGAAATGAAGGGATTAAAATAGACTATAAATTAGTTTGGTTTTAAAAAATTATAATTTCATCAAAAGTTATGATCAGTCAAAAAACTGATTCTTTTCAAATCATAATTAAAATTCAAATAATATTATACATTATTATATATAATAAAAGCTTATTAAAAAAAAACAAGGTAGATCAAGTATATCCGACAAAATAACAGATGGTTTAGGAGATTCAGAGATAAAGAAAAAAAACAAAGACATAGGTAAAAAATTTATTTCACGATGTCACAATTATATTTTTGTTAAGAACAAAAAAGGAGTGCAAAAGCTCCTATTATCGCATTCTTTAAAATCGACAAACTTCTCATTTAACAGAAAATTAAATTCTTACTTTCAACTTTCTAATTTTGACGACGAATCTTTTCGAGGTTGATTAAGAAAATATTAGTTGTATTCGAAGAAATGCACAGATCAATACACAAGCGTGTAATGATCAAGAACATGTGTAGATACATGTTAAAAATTCCAGAACTGTAATACAGTCGAATTAACAGAAATTAATGGGAGTATAACCTAAAAGATGCTTACCAACTCGCTGTGAAATCTACGACGACGAGTTTTTGCCCGGCATTTGCCAACTCGCCGTTGAAATGACGATCGTCGTTTATTATTCGTACCGCTCCCATTATTTTGATTGTGTGTAGTTTCAATTACATTAAATTCACCACACCGATCAAGCTATCCAATGTTTCCACTACAATACACTTCACAAAACTAATCGAGATTATCGAGATATCAAGATTCCTCAAGAATGACTGGCAGTTCACAAATGAGTATTAATGGCTGCGTTCAGCAAAACGTTTATTTTACAACTGTTAGAAGTTTTCTCCGCGCTGATTGGGTTAGATCAAGAAGAATGATCCAGCAGAAAATCATAAAACGATTGCAAAACTATCGTGTTCTGCTGAACTTAACAAATGGCTTCATTTAATAGAGAAAGGCTAAGGATGAAATTATATGGTGCGGAAAGTGATTGCGAAATAGAGAAAGTGTCACAGAAGCAATCAATCAGTGTTAATCTGTGTTATTCCGATTTACGTTCCAGGGGGAATTCGATCGGAATCGATTCGACATGAAGCTATAATGG